CGAAAGGAAGACAGAGCATAAAGAAAGAGAGGGGTAAAAAGTGAGAGATATTAATAAAAGAAAAACAAGAAGTAAAGGATAGGACCAAGAAGATACAGGGAGGGGGGGGTGGGGAGGGAGGAGGGGGGGGGGGGGTGAAACATGGGGAAGGGGATGGAAATTAAATATGGATTTTTATACTGTATGTTACTGGTTTAGTATGGATTTGTATAAAAAATTTTTTAATAAAGATATAATTAAAAAAAAAATACACTGTCACTGACCATGTCTGTAAAAACTGTACTGATAAATTACATCAGTAATTCAGTAATTATCGCATGTTACATGTCATTGGAAAGGATAAGACTGACCTTTTGAAAAGTTATTGCAATGTTTAGAAGAAACACAAAGTTCTATACAGATTTTCATTTATATCAGGAAAGGAATGCTTCTGTACTTCTGTGTGTTCTTGAGAGGTATAGTAGTCTATACTCATAATGCCCATGACTCAATAGTGAATCCCCCCCAAGCACTTCCTTCAGATAGGAGGATACTCTTGCTATGAACAGGTTTGTGACATTCATTGATAAGACATTAATTCAGCTTTCAAATATACATAAATATGTTCCACAACCTCAGCCTTCTATAGCAATAAGCCCTAACTTTTCCTACCTGACATGATGGAACCAATGTACAATATATACTACTGCAATGCTAAATTTTACCCTACCGCATATACACTATATTGCCAAAAGTATTGGGATGCCTGCCTTTAAACGCACATGAACTTTAATGTTATCCAAGTTTTAGTCCGTAGGGTTCAATATTGAGTTGGTTCACCCTTTGCAGCTATAAAAGCTTCAACTCTTCCGGGAAAGCTGTTTAGGAGTGTGTCTCTGGGAATGTTTGACCATTCTTCCAGAAGTGCATTTGTGAGTTCAGGCACTGATGTTGGATGAGAAGGCCTGGCTCGCAGTCTCCGCTCTAATTCATCCCAAAGGTGTTCTATTGGGTTTAGGTCAGGACTCTGTGCAGGCCAGTCAAGTTCCTCCATCCCAAACTCACTCATCCATTTCTTTATGGACCTTGCTTTGTGCACTGGTGCGCAGTCATGTTGGAACAGGATGGGGGCCATCCTCAAACTGTTCCCACAAAGTTGGGAGCAAGAAATTGTACACAATGTCTTGGTAAGCTGACACCTTAAAAGTTCACTTCACTGGAACTAAGGAGCCAAGCTCAACACCTGAAAAACATGCCCACACCATAATCCCCCCTCCACCAAACTTAACACTTGGCACAATACAGTCAGACAAGTATCGTGCTCCTGGCAAACCCAGAGATGTCCATCTGATTGCCAGACAGAAAAGCGTGATTCATCACTCCAGAGAACATGTCTCGACTGCTCTAGAGTTCAGTGGCCACGTGCTTTACACCACTGCATCCTACAATTTGCAATGCACTTGGTGTTGTTAGGCTTGGATGCAGTTGCTCAGCCATAGAAACCCATTCCATGAAGCTCTCTACGCACTGTTGTTGTGCTAATCTGAAGGACACACAAAGTTTGAAGATCTTTGGCTATTGACTCTGCAGATAGTGACTTCTGCACACTGTGCACTTCAGCATGAGCTAACCCCGCTCTGTCATTTTACATTGCCTACCACTTCGTAGTTGAGATGATGATGTTCCCAGTTTCTTCCACTTTGTTATAACACCACTAACAGTTGACCGTGGAATATTTAGTAGCAAGGAAATTTCACCAATGGACTTACTGCACAGGTGGCAACCTATCACGGTACCACGCTGGAATTCACTAAGCTCCTGAGAATGACCCATTCTTTCACAAATGTTTGTGCCTAGGTGCTTGATTTTATATACCTGTGGCCATGGAGGTGTTTGGAACACCTGAATCCAATGATTTGGAGGGGTGTCCCAATACTTTTGGCAATATAGTGCATAAACATACTCAGTGTCAACTGAAACTCCACTTTCAATACTGCCGACTGCCAAACTTGCCATTCTAGCCCCCCCTTGATCTCCCAATCATCCTTCATACCTGGAATAAGATTGCCACATAAATCAGTGTGTGTAAAGGGCAGGTATTCCCCACTCAGGAAATAGACATATTTTTCAACTATAATTTTAAGTGTGTTTGTTATCCATACTCATATGCGGCTACCATGTTATGGACCTCTCCCATACTTAGTAAATCAGTTCATTAAAAACCATTGACATTACAGTGTGAAAAAAAAAACACTACGAATCACTACAAACCAAAGTCTCTACAGTCTCAAGTCTGATAAGTGCCTCCATTATTATAAACGCTCTTCCTGCCAATAAAAATGGTGGCCTCCTCTGAGTAAATTCTTGTACTGTTTTACTTAAACATGACAAAGCAAGTTCCTAAGATAGACACTTTTTCTTTGCAATATGTTAGCCAATAAACACAATACTGTAAATCTAGCACCACCGTGACACAAAACAAGAAAAAGACTTTAACAAAGTTATAACAGCGGCAGAAGCATGAATTCAGTATTGTGCATTACATGTAGGTTAGCCCTTGAAACATATGGATGTTACTCAACCCCTATTATAAACACCAGCTTGTAATAGGTAATGCTACCGATTCTTACCATGGCAAATAATGATATCACACACAACTAATCCTTTCCTACTCCTGGCTGGTAGCCTTACAACATAAACATAGCTTTAAATCCAATTGATGGAATACGATTAGCATGAAAATAAGCCTGGATATGTGTATCTCCATTAACATCACCACTCTGTCACCAAATCGTTAGCACTGTCACTGCGCAGTTCTTTTCACGTTTAAAATTAGAATCTCCGAGAGATCATTCCTCAAGTAGAACAGAGAGCTGCTGTAGAAAACAAAAGAGGCAATGACAGAAAGCATTCTGGAGGAAAGTAACAAACTGGGCCACCAGGGTTCATTGATGATTCAGAAGAAATCCACCACCATCGAATAACTGACCCCAACTACTGCAGAACCTACTGAAGGACAGATATATAGGGGAGACATGGATGTGCTCTCCATTTAAGCAATGTTAAACAATTTACTTACATGCTCAGCAAACTGGCATTTATTGTTTCAAAGTCGCTGAATTACTGTTTGCTGGAACTTATCCAAAAGTGGAATCAAATTAATTTGATTTTGACAACACTAGTTTGGCCTGTAAGCATCAAATCCCTGCGTATTCAGGCACCCAGGAGGCACAGGTGCAGGGTCCAGCCCCCGCTGGCAGCATTCTGTCAAAATCTATTACAGGCTGAAATACGTGTTGGCTGGATGCTGTACTGAATGGTTTGTATAGGATCGTATACCTTCGGTGATGTATGCCCTGAACCCAGAATTTCATGGGGACCAAAGAGTATCTAAACCCCTCCCCCCCCTGAAAAAATGTGATATATTGCAGCTTACCAGTTCTTGGATGTGGTGGCTGTATTAGTATTCTTTAGGCTTTTTTTCTCCTTTATTTTCACCAGGTGGCCTTGCCAGTAACACACTTTCTGTCCTAAGGTGGCAACACTCATTAACTGCTTTGTATCTATGGAGGGACAGCATTGTCACCTTAGGCAGCTCTTCTGAATTGGACTACAAACACCTCCTCTCTTCATGTGCATTACATAAAGGGGTGTTGTCTTGTAATTCTCAGAAGATGTCTGAGAAAGCTGAAAACAATGTTTGATATTTCAGTTAAACATGGACTGGAATTAGACAAAATTTACCCTTGTAGTGGTGCCCCGCGGCTCCCACACTGCAAGGGTCAAATGATAGTTCAGTCTAGGGGTGGTAAGGTGTAATGCTGATCCCTGCTAACCTCAATCTATGCAACCAGTCCAGTGCTGCTAACTGGACTGCAAGGTGCAATCAGCCATGGACGCATGCTTGCTCTCTCCACATACATAATGATGCCCTGGGACCCCCCACAGCCTGGAGAGCTGGAACCTGCCAAGGATAGAACATCCCTAGACTAAACTAGGATTTAACCTCTGACAGTGCAGGGGAGGCCCCATTGAAAGGGTAGATTTTTGTGTCATTACCGGAGTTCAGCTTCTAAGGGGTTGACCAGTTTCAGCCAGCTGCCCACGCCACATATACGAGCTGCACTGCGCTGTGTGAATGGTCCCAAGGCCTACTAGGATTTGTGATGTGTCCCAGAATGTTGTGGGCAGGGAGGGTGGGCATGCAACTTCTGCTGGAATTACCAAGGCAATTTCAGCGGAAGTGAGGAGAGGGTACCTGTCAAAATTAGGTACCCCCTCCAAAAAAACAAAAATGTTCCAAAAGTAGAAGGGGGAATGGAGGAGGAAGGGCAGAACTTCCATTTTTCAGTGAAGTTCTGCTTTAAGTCACTTGTAATAAATGAATAAGTACACAAGAGGTTACTGGGACCCTCTATTCCTATAAGGAGTAGCAGGTCATTTTTTGTGCTTGCAAAAAAATTTACTCAGCCTGAAAAAATTAAAAACAAATGCAAACACCACAACTAAGTACTAATAAGCTGCAATATAATACAGTTTTGTTCTTGTGTGTAGATACACTTTCACTATATAGATCCTGTCGGATACATCAGCACTTTATAGGTTTGATTTCCTTTCTGCCTAACTGATTGGTCCTATTGCCTTGCCTTCAACACTGGCTACAACAACCTTTATAAACCTTTTTAGCCTAGTGAAACCCTTGAAATAATTTCCAGGTCTCAAGAAGCCCCTGCTAAAACCAATATATTGGTTGTCTGTGGGAAAATTCTCTTTGCATCAGCGGTCAGTGCGAAGAATGGCCAATTTACATTGGTGGTCAGTGGGAAGAATGTTCCTTACATTGGTGGCGGGTGTGAAGAATCTCCCCTTAAATTGGTGGTCATTGGGAAGAAAGTTTCTTTACATTGGTGGCCAGTGTAAAGAATCTCCCCTTAAATTGGTGGTCATTGGGAAGAAAGTTACTTTACATTGGTGGCCAGTGTGAAGAATCTCCCCTTAAATTGGTGGTCAGTGGGAAGAAAGTTCCTTACATTGGTGATCAGTGGGAAGAATGTTCCTTACATTGGTGGTAGTGTGAAGAATATCTCCTTAAATTGGTAGTCAGTGGGAAGAAAGTTCCTTACATTGGTGGTCAGTGAGAAGAATGTTCCTTACATTAGTGGTCAGTCTGAATAACCTGCCCTTAAATTGGTGGTCATTGGGAAGAATGCTCCTCTTACATTGGTGGTCAGTGGGAAGAATCCTCCCTTACATTGGTGGTCAGTGCAAAGAATGCACCTTACATTGGTAGTCAATGGGAAGCATGCCACCTATACATACAAGTAAAAAGATCTCTGGTGTCATGCAGTTGGTTCTGCCAAGTGGGGTTTGCCCGGGACCTATGGAGACACCATAAGATGGTGATCAATCAGCCACAGCGCCAGGAACTCTAGCAACCTCCGGAGGAATCCTAGGATTCCATGAAACCCTAGTGGCTGATCTAATGCCTTTTCCACACTGACAGATTTGTACAGTTTCGGTGGGTCCTACATGAAGAGCCAGCACAGTTTAATTGAAAGCCTCACACAGATATTTGTATAGGTTAGCCATACATGTGGATTATATAATAACAGCTATAAAATATGTATTATTTCCTTTCTCTGTGAAGCTGTTTGAGCTACCGTAACTCTCACATTAGTATCTTTACAAAGCCCTAGCCAGCATGCTTTTGTATGGTGGGACACAAAGACTCCATTCAAATATTGCTGTGGTAAGGATTTAACTCAACTGGGCCACTTTACACCAGATGTGGACTAGTTAAAGAATTCAGGAGCCAGTCCGTCCAATCATGGAGCTGTCAGGATTTTATGTAGGCACCAGCTCCTGTGACAACAACTAGAGAAAGACTCAACGGTTATGTGCCAGATGTCATTTTAATGGCGTGCTTGCTACCTTTTTCCTGGGATTTGTCCAACGTTTTAAAGTATGAATTTGTACAAGTGAACATTCATGCAGCAACTTTCAGGAAGCTTGTGTAACTCTTCTGAAACCAATGTATACAGTAAATCCATCAAGAGTACTGACATAACATAGGATTCTGTAATCTCTATTCTGTAATTCTAGTCTTTTTTATCTTCTTGGGCTCTCCATTCATCTCAGTATTCCCAGTAGATCACATGGAAAACATCAACACTATCTTGGTTTGGATTTTTCTTCTACTCAACAGAACTGTCCTATTGCCTGCCATTTAGTGCTATATTTAAAGCAGCCTTCCTCAGCCAATGTTCAGTGCAATTCCAGGGTTCCTCTGGAGGTTACTAGTGGTTCCTTGTGGTTCCTTGAGGTTCCGTGAGCAACTTCTGCTCCTCAGATAAGACACCAAAGACACAAATTATCATATTAGTGATCTGTAAGAGGGGATTCTTCCCACTGACCAACAGTGTAAGGAGCACTCTTCCTACTGACCACTAATGTAAGGGGACATTCTTCCCAATGACCACCAATGTAAGGAACATTTTTCCCAAATACCACCAAAGTAACGAGCATTCTTCACAATGACCTCCAATGTAAGGAGCATTCTTCCCAATGACCACCAATATAAGGAACATTCTTCCCACTGACCACCAATGTAACGGGGCGGCACAGTGGCTTAGTGGTTAGCACTTTCGCCTGGCAGTACTAGGGTTGTTGGTGCGAATCCCAGCCACGTCACCACCTGCCTGGAGTTTACATGTTCTCCCTGTGCCTGTGTGGGTTTCCTCCGAGTACTCCGGTTTCCTCCCACACTCCAAAGACATGCAGGTAGGTTAATTGGATCCTGTCTAAATTGTCCATAGTATGTGTATGTATGAATGTGAGTTAAGAACCTTAGATTGTACGCCCCTTGAGGGTTAGGGACTGCTGTGAATGTACAATACATATATGTAAAGCGCTGCGTAAATTGACGGCGCTATATAAGTACCTGAAATAAATCAATAAGTAACATTCTTCCCAATGACCACCAATGTAAGGAACTTTCCTCCAAAGATATCTTCCTCTCTAGCTCCCTCATCACCTCCTCGCCTCCAGGACTTCTCCAGAGCCTCTCCCATTCTCTGGAACTCCCTACCACAGTATGTCCGGTCAGCCCCCACCCTGTCTGCCTTTAGGCGATCTTTGAAAACTCACTTATTCAAGGAAGCCTATCCCACCTCCACCTAAGAACTGTACTTGAATCACCTCCACCAGATCATCCCCCGCAGCTATCACATTTTGTATCATCTCCCCCTTGCTTTAGATTGTAAGCTCCACCAGCAGGGCCCTCACATTCCTTCTGTACTGAAATGTATTGTAATTGTACTGTCTCCCTTATATTGTAAAGCGCTGCGCAAACTGTTGGTGCTACATAAATCCTGTATAATAATAATAATGTAAGGAACATTCTTCCCACTGACCATCAATGCAAGGGACATTCTTCCCACTGACCACCAATGTAAGGGGGGCATTCTTCTCAATGACCACTAATGTAAGGAACATTCTTCCCACTGACCATCACTGCAAGGGACATTCTTCCCACTGACCACCAATGTAAGGAGCATGTGGGAAACATTCTTCCCACTGACCATCAATGCAAGGGACATTCTTCCCCACTTACCACCATGTAAGGAGCATGGGACATTCTTCCCCCACCATCAATGCAAGGGACACCTTACCAAAGTAAGGAGTTTTCTTGCCACTGACCAGCAATGTAAAGTGAATTCTAGATATAGTATTTGTTAACAGGAGTTCCATGAAACCGGAAATTTATTATAAAGCTGATTCCCTTGCGGTGCTTGTTTAGGTCTAGGGAGCCACAAAGAGCACTTTTACTTACCCGATCCTCCACTTCAACAGTCTCCCTCCAGGCTGTAAGACTGATCCCCGCAGCTTCCTCTACCCTATGCTCTGGTGGTCGCAGATCCTCTGACGTCATCTGAAGAATATAGAGTCCACAGCAGAGAAGCCACTCACCATTGGAGCACAGAGGAAAAGAGGAGAGCGCCGGCTGCCAGGGGGAGCGCAGGATTGGGAGATTAAAACTGCTCTTTGTGGCCTCTAGACATAAATGAGCATTTAACCCTTGCAGTGCTGGGGCAACCCAAAGGTAGGATTTATAGTGATAATATGTCATTCCTTTTTTAATGAGCTGCTAATGGCAGAACTTTCTTGTTCTTGCAGTTGTTATCATTTCTCATATTGCTCATTTACAAGAAACAAAGTGAAAGTGGGTGCTTATTCAGTATTAAGAAAAAAATACTTTAATCACTTTGAGGGTTCCTTCATGTTAAAACTGTCATGAAGACTGATCTATACTGATGAGGCAACACATTAAGGAACAGTCAGTCCAAAGCAGCACATGAATTATTTGTCTAGGTGACCCTCCAGATGTATCATAATGATGATAGTAGTAATGGTAATAATAATAATATAAAATTAATAATAAAAATTGCCCTCTAGAACACTAATATTAGTAGTTTCTCCATGTTAAGACTGTCAAGAAGAACAGTCTATATTAAGGATACCACACATTAAGGAACAGTCAGTTCAAAGAAGCACAGTAATTATTTGTGCGTGTTTGACTCTCCAGATGTATTATAATAATAATATCATCATAAAATAATATAGTAAAATATTATTGACAATGACAATAATAATAATAATAGCAATAATAATAATAATATCAAATCAAATAATAATAATATATATATATATATATATATATATATATATATATATATATTATTGATAATAATAAAATATAGCATTTTGTAGTAGTTATATTAACAACATTATAACAAAATAATATAATAATAATAATAATGTATTATTACTGATGATAATAATAATAGTGATAATAAAAATAATATAAAATAAAATGATGATAATATTATTGCAAATATATATTAATTAAATATATAAATAATAATAATAATATATATATATATATATATATATATATATACTAATAGTAATAGGCACCAGTAACACATCCTAATAATAGCCCCTCTAGAAGGATAGGAATGATGAGTAATGAGAATGGTAAGAGAAGAGGGGTCCCATGAAGTGTGTAGGGTACACGTCCCAGGCGGTGTAGCCCCATGGTGGGTAGCAGTCAGTGTGTGTGGGGTGAGAGGGGTGTATTGTGTCCCCTGTACAGGAAGTGTCACATTGTAGCCCCTCCATGTCCCCACCCCCCCTGTCATTCTTCCCGGAGCTCCTCCCACAATGTGACCCCGGCTCGGGGCAGAGGTCCGGGTGTGGGGTGCCCCCAGCCAGCACAGCGCACTCACCGAATGTGGTGTCCGTACTGGCAGCCTGATGATGGGAAGCGGCGGAGAGGAGGAGGAGGAGAGCGATGTACGGCGAGCTCGGCATGGTTAATCCATCGGTCTAGCAGTCCATGAGTGCGGGAGAAGGACGAGGGAACGGCCGGAGAAGTGTCAGGGGGATGGGCACTGCACGATCCCTACTCTCCCCGAACAGCTTCAACACCCCGGACAGCGACCAGCACCGGCCCCGCCCACCCTCAGGACACGCCTCCCCAACGCTGATCACATGGAGCGGAGCCCGCCCCCTGGAGGAGATGAATGGGACTCCTCAGGCATGGCGCTGTCCGTCCTCGGGTGCTGATGAATGGAGGCGGCCGCGAGGACATCCTTCACCGGAAGGGGGAGCAATACCCACACTGAGGGTTCATCCTGTATATCCTCTCATCTCCTCTATGGGACGGAGACCACTACTGACCAATGGGGTCACCGGGCCACCTCCGCTCTGACATCATAGGGGGAGGAGGGGGGTCATCGGGGTGTTATACCGACCAGAGTGGGATCCATCCCCTCCTACGCTGTATATTCCACATATAGAGGGCTTGTCTCTTCTATGGGGAGATCACTACTGCCTGCCAGGGGCACAGCGCCACCTCTGGTCTGGCATCATAGAGGAGGAGAGGAGGGGGCATTATAGAGGAGGAGAGGAGGGGGAATCATAGAGGAGGGGGCATTATAGAGGAGGAGAGGAGGGGGAATATAGAGGAGGGGGCATTATAGAGGAGGAGGAGGGGGCATCATAGGAGGGGGCATTATAGAGAGGAGAGGAGGGGGCATTATAGAGGAGGAGGAGAGGAGGGGGCATTATGAGGAGGAGTGGAGAGGGCATCATAGAGAGAGAGGAGGGGGCATCATAGAGAGGAGGTTAGGGATCATAGAGGAGGGGGCATTATAGAGGAGGAGAGGAGGGGGCATCATAGAGGAGGGGGCGTTATAGAGAGAGGAGGGCATCATAGAGGAGAGGGCATTTAGAGGAGGAGGAGAGGGCATCATAGAGGAGGGGGCATTATAGAGGAGGAGAGGAGGGGGGCATCATAGAGGAGGGGGCATTATAGAGGAGGAGAGGAGGGGGCATTATAGAGGAGAGAGGGCATCATAGAGAGAGGGGGGCATTATAGAGGAGGAGTGGAGAGGGCATCATAGAGGAGGGGGCATTATAGAGGAGGGGAATTATAGAGAAGGAGAGAGGGGGCATCATAGAGGAGGGGGCATTATAGAGGAGGAGAGGGCATCATAGAGGAGGAGAGGGGAGAGGGCATCATAGAGGATGGGGCATTAGAGAGGAGGGGCATCAGAGAGAGAGGATGGGGCATTATAGAGGAGGGGGCAATATAGAGGAGAGAGGGGGCACCATAGAGGAGGGGCATTATAGAGGAGGAGAGGAGAGGGCATCATAGAGGATGGGGCATTATAGAGGAGGGGTCATCATAGAGGAGGGGAAATCATAGAGGAGGAGGAGAGGGCATCATAGAGGATGGGGTATTATAGAGGAGGGGCATTATAGAGGAGGAGAGGGCATCATAGAGGAGGGGGCATCATAGAGGAGGGGGCATTATAGAGGAGGAGAGGAGGGGGCATCATAGAGGAGGGGGCATCATAGAGAGGGGAGTGGAAAAAGCATCATAGAGGATGGGGCATTATAGAGGAGGAGAGGAGGGGGCATCATAGAGGAGGAGAGGAGGGGGGCACCATAGAGGAGGGGGCATTATAGAGGAGGAGAGGGCATCATAGAGGATGGGGCATTATAGAGGAGGGGGCATCATAGAGGAGGGGGAATCATAGTGGAGGGGGGCATCATAGTGAAGGAGAGGAGGGGGCATCATAGAGGAGGGGAATCATAGAGGAGGAGAGGAGGGGGCATCATAGAGGAGGGGAATCATATAGGAGGAGAGGAGGGGGCATCATAGAGGAGGGGGCATCATAGAGGAGTGGAGAGGGCATCATAGAGGAGGGGGCATTATAGAGGAGGAGAGGAGGGGGAATTATAGAGAAGGAGAGGAGGGGGCATCATAGAGAGAGGGGGCATTATAGAGGAGAGGAGAGGGCATCATAGAGGAGGAGAGGGCATCATAGAGGATGGGGCATTATAGAGGAGGGGGCATCAGAGAGGATGGGGCATTATAGAGGAGGGGGCAATATAGAGGAGGAGAGGAGGGGGCACCATAGAGGAGGGGCATTATAGAGAGGAGAGGAGAGGGCATCATAGAGGATGGGGCATTATAGAGGAGGGGGCATCATAGAGGAGGGGGAATCATAGAGGAGGAGAGGAGAGGGCATCATAGAGGATGGGGTATTATAGAGAGGGAGGGGCATATAGAGGAGGGGGCATCATAGAGGAGGGGGCATTATAGAGGAGGAGAGGAGGGGGCATCATAGAGGAGGGGGCATCATAGAGGAGGAGAGGAAAAAGCATCATAGAGGATGGGGCATTATAGAGGAGGAGAGGAGGGGGCATCATAGAGGAGGAGAGGAGGGGGCACCATAGAGGAGGGGGCATTATAGAGGAGGAGAGGGCATCATAGAGGATGGGGCATTATAGAGGAGGGGGAATCATAGAGGAGGGGGAATCATAGTGAAGGAGAGGAGGGGGCATCATAGAGGAGGGGAATCATAGAGGAGGAGAGGAGGGGGCATCATAGAGGAGGGGAATCATATAGGAGGAGAGGAGGGGGCATCATAGAGGGGGGAATCATAGGAGGACAGGGGGGGGCATCATAGAGGAGGAGAGGAGGGGCATCATAGAGGAGGGGGCATTATAGAGGAGGAGAGGAGGGGGCATTATAGAGGAGGAGAGGAGGGGGCATTATAGAGGAGGAGAGGGCATCATAGAGGAGGGGGAATCATAGCGGAGGGGGCATCATAGAGGAGGAGAGGAGGGGGAATCATAGAGGAGGGGAATCATATAGGAGGACAGGAGGGGGCATCATAAAGGAGGGGGCATCAGTCTGTAATACCAACCAAAGCCATCCTATATATTATTATTATACAGGACTTATATAGCGCCAATGGTTTGCTCAGCACTTTACATTATGGAGGGAGACAATACAGCAACAATACAGTTCAATACAAGAGGGATTTGAGGGCCCTGCTCCTTGGAGCTTACAATCTAGGAGGGCGGGGAGAATGGTACCTTAGGTAGTCACTGTGGGGGATGGAGTGGTTGGAAGAGTAGAGGATTCCAGAATTGGCAGAGGGCGGGATAGGCTTCCCTGAAGAGAAAGGTTTTCAGTGATCGCCGAAAGGCAAGTAAGTAGAGTAGATGTTTGTCTGATAGATTGGGGTAGGGAGTTCCAGAGGATGGGTGACACCCTGGAGAAGCCTTGGAGACGAGCATGGGAGGAGGAGATAAAGGAGCTAGAGAGTAAGAGGTCTTGCGAGGAGCAGAGTGTACGGTTT